CCCCAAAACCCCAAAACCCCAAAACCCCAAAACCCCAAATTAAGGTCAAAAGATTGAAGTCTAGAATCTTATTATTTTCTCGCACCTCTAAAGAAATTGCCAGACTTCTTCAGCTTTTTGATCTCTTCCTCTTTCTTCTTCCTTTCTTCATATAGGTTTGCCAAAAGTGTCTGATTTTGGTTCCCTGATGGATTCTGAACAGGTGAAGGAGGGTTTGAACTTTGATTGGAACTTTCAGATGATTTTTCTTTATAATCTCCACCCCGTAACTTCTTTTTCCTCAGAGCGTCATTTTCTTCTTTGCTCAGCATCGGGCCTCCAAGTGCTTTCTTTTCTCTATTTTATAAACTCAGTCAGATTGATACTTTCGATACTATCGTTCGAATCAGCTTCGTTTTCTTCACAAGATTTTGATCAAATTTTGCCAGTATTTAGAGATGATGAGTCCTTCCCAATAGGTTTTGGCTCTTTAAATTCCTTCCCACAGTTTTGGTTCTGGGAACTCTGTTCAGATTCAACCACCAGATGATCTTGGACCTGATCATGAGTAACCTCAACTTGATGGTTCCGAGGATTTTCTCTCTTGGGATTATTCCTTCTATGTCTACTCTTCCTTTTGTGTTTCTCGTGATACTCCTTTTGCAAAGTATCATGAAGAGTTTGACAGCGCATGCAGTTATGCTTTCATTTCCTTCGAGCTCCCTTGTTTATTAGAAACCTTGCGAAATCTGAGTGATTCCTCTCAAGAGCCACATGGACAGGAGTCTGTCCTAAAAAGTTTGGAGAATTAATTAGCGCGCCATGATTCAAAAGAACTTGCGCAATTTCCTTCTTACCAGTCTGAGCAGCTCTGTGCAAAGGAGTAGCACCATCATACGAGCTATGATGATCAGCTCTCATACCATTTGAAAGCAATTTCTCAAGCATGTCTTTCTGCCCGCTCAGAACAGTGATGTGCACAACAGAATCTCCTGGAAAATGCTCTACAATGGGCTCTTTTTGAATTTTCTTCTCTTTTTCACCTGCATCGTTGTTATAAATTTCAGTAGTAGTCTGATCTTTAGCCTTCTTCCTTCTCTTCTTGCTATATAAATGAATAATGAGGATTACCTTCGCTTGTCCTTGTCTGTGGTATTTAAACTCTGATGGTGCAAATTCTTCTTATTCCTAGAAGGGTCTTCCTCCTCTTTCCTCTCATGTTGGTCACAATCGCTATCTGACATCTATGTGAATTCTATTTTATTTATTATGAGAAATTTAATTATCATTTGGAGTTTATAAATCAAGATCTCAACTATTCAAAGAAGTTCTGGGGTTTTGGGGTTTTGGGGTTTTGGGGTTTTGGGGTTTTGGGGTTTTGGGG